TTATTATTATTATTATTATTATTATTATTATTATTATTATTATTATTCGGTCTATCTTTTATCAGTCCACTCATACCAACAGTTCCAACTCATATAGTACTCTGATACTTCTTTATTTTTTAATGCCAGAGTTAATTTATCCATTTCTGCACAGCTTGATATTTTCTGAATAACCATTCCCTCAGGTGGAATATAGGGTTGTTTCCAGCATTGTACGAAAGCCAATCTAGCTGCCGTCAATATATGTAATATTATATATTTAACTTTTGGGGGGAATTGTCTGTTGAGAATCCCTAATAGGAAAAAATCTGGTTTGAGTTCAATCTGCTCAGATGTAGAGATGTAATTTCCTCCAACCATTTCTTTATTCTCAGCCAATATCTCTGGGTTTCTGTACAAGACCACCACATGTGGTAGAATGTTCCTTCTTTCTTTTTACACTTCCAGCATTTAGGGCTCACGTTGGGAAACATTTTTGCTAATCTCGAAGGGGGTAGATGCCATCTACAGAACATTTTATAAGTGTTTTCTTTATATGATGCCGATTTTGTAATTTTATTGTTTCTATTCCAGATCTTCTCCCATTCTGTTAGAGTAATGCTACAGCCTATATTCCTACTCCAAGCTATCATATTACCTTTAACTATTTCGTCCTCTAATTCTACCTCTAATAGTTGTAAAATTTTGTTATAATTTTTTTATCTGGGCCTAATATAATTTTATCTAATTGTTGTGGTTTATTATAGATTCCAGTCTTTCATGTCCTGTCTATATCTATTCTGGACTTGGAGATATGCCCATTGGTCAATTTGTAACCCTTGTTCCTGGAGGTCTTGCCATAATTTCAAATTTCTTGTATATCCAATAGATCTTTATACTTTAACATCTTATTAATGTCCAAATTATTCGGGTGAATCATTGCCTCCATTGTTGAGAGCCAGATTGTGACCTTTAAATAATATTTTTTCCTTATTTTGTTCCCATTGGCCAATAGAGAATCTCTAATTAAGTGTCTATGAAAATATTTTTGTTTGGTTTTCCCCATATCCCAAAGGAAGGCATGCCACCCCCTCTGTAAATCATGGTCATCTAAAGTTAGTATTCTTTTATTAGATAGATTCACCCAATCTTTCAACCATACTAAGGAAGCTGCACAATGATATAACTCCCAATTTGGGAGGGCCATACCTCCCCTGCTCTTCATATCTTTCATTGCTTTTAAGTTTATTCTCAGTTTTTTCCCTTGCCAAATAAATTTTGCAATTATCCTATTAAGTTCAGTAAAATAGTTTTTGTGTATTTTAATTGGTATTGCCTGAAATAAATAGGTGAATTTAGGGAGAATGGACATTTTAATAGTGGCAATCCTCCCTAATAGGGAAAGTGCAGTTTAACCCATGTCCCTAGATCTTTCTTTACCTGTTGTAATAATTTGTCAGTTATTTTCCATCAATGTCTTACATTGTGCTGTCAACCATATTCCTAAGTATTTGATTTTCTTTACCACTTGTAATCCCATCGTCTCTTGTAATTCTGATTTCTGTTTTTCTGTTAAGTTTTTAGTTATTAATTTTGTTTTCTTTCTATTAATTTTAAGTCCTGCAACTATTCCAAATCGTTCTAACTCATTCATCAGTTTCTGTCCTTTTTCTGTCGGGTCCAATAAAGGCTTCTTCTAATAGACAATTATAAAATCACCACTATAAATGTACTCGATGGAGATTAATATTTTTAAAAATGTTTGGAATTTCAGGCATATTTGAAAGTAGAAGAAAAGTAGAAATTAAATTGTAAAAAAAGAAGTTGTTCAAAAATAGGCACATTTATGAAAGCACATTTATGAAGTAATTATTAGGAAAGGAAAAGCATGGATATCATTGGGATCCTGAGATCAGAGATTTCCTGAGACAGGAATAATGAGTTGATATCTTTAGATGTCACTGAATGCTGAGTGGAGACATGAGGACTATCATGTTTAGTCTATAAAAGGCTGGGTAGTGCAGCCTTTCTTGAAAGGGATATAACAGCTATGAAGAGCAAAGGCAATCTAATCTACAGGTAGTCCTCAACTTACAACAGTTCACTTAGAGACCATTCAAAGTTACAACAGCACTGAAAAAACCTTATAACCATTTTTCACGCTTATGACTGTTGCAGCATCCCCATGGTCATGTGATGTACATTTGGATGCCTGACAACTGACTCACATTTATGACGGTTGCAGTGTCCCAGAGTCATGCGATCACCTTTTGCAACCTTTTGACAAGCAAACTCAAAGGGGAAACCAGATTCACTTAACAACTGTGTTACTAATTTAACAACTGCAATGATTCACTTAACAATTGTGGCAAGAAAAGTCATAAAATGGGGAAAAACTCATGAAACAAAATTCTCACTTAGCAACATAAAATTTTGGACTCAATTGTGGTCATAAGTTGAGGACTACCTGTACTGGGGCTGACATTGCCCTTTCCAGTATAAACCATTCTACTGTAAGAATAAGTTGTTTTCCTTTCAGTTTTTATTTACTAAATAAAGAAAATTATAATTACACATTATTTTTCTGTAAAGACCACTAAACAATATATACCACAATAAGCAAAACAATTGCATACAATATGCATAACTTGAAAAATTGACAAAATATACAAGGCATCAACTAATTTATACAATTTTATTTATTATTGGTCTATCATATTTTTATGCTGCTGCAGTGAAAGACACCATTCATGGCAGCACATCAAATAGATAGTCATTTTCAACTAGCTCTTTGGTGTTACTGAAAAGCTACATAGGCAGGGGTGGGATTCTACCGGTTCTGACCGGTTCTATAGAACCCCTTGTTAACTTTCTAAGCAGTTCGGAGAACCGGTAGTTAGAAGAAATCTCCTTTTGTTTTTTTCCACCCTTACTACATTCTTAGCAGACAACCTAGACTTATTGTCTCCGAATGAGTTTTTTGTCTTAAAGGGGAAGGGTTGTTTGAAGCTTTTTACACTGCTGTTGGGAGGAAATACTCCCCTTGAAATACTTCTTGGCTAGCTAAAAAGATTGACATTCAAACGTGAGTTTACATACCCTTTCGGAGTTTTGGTCTAAAACTGGTGTTTTGGTGAAGTTTAATTCTGTTCTTTTTTTTAGTATTTATTTGATTTGTCAATCACTTACAAGATACAGGTATAAGAATAAATATAGTTTTGAATACATGAGATAGATACTTATATAAGAAAAACTAAAAAACAATAGGAATGTGAATCCCACCCCTGGAGTATAGGATTACTTTTTTGCGTATGCATCTAGGAAAGAATTAATTTTGGGATAGAAAGTTCATTCAATGTCAGGATTACAAAGTGAGACTATATGTATGTTTCAGGATTTACAGAGACTTTTTAGCATGTTCTCCCTCTGAAAACTATTCTGGTTTCTCTGTGGGAATGTTACAAATAGTCTTTTTCCTTCCCGATTATAAAATAACATAAATGTTCTACTTTGTTAGATATTATTTATTGATGTTTTCTAGACAGTTGAATATAGATACTTACCCAAGTTAAAAAAAAGTTTAAGATATACTGCATCTTGTATTGCCAAGATAAAACGTGAATAAGAGACAATGAAATACCTCGAAATCCTACTTAGTATTAACATACAGTTTCTTAATTCCTATCAATGGAATGGGTCTTTTCATGCATTTAGTTCATTAAGCTTTTATGTACTTTGCCTTTAAATTGTACATTTATTTTAAATATTTGTTTTGACAGAAGATACATATTAAGTATTTACTCACCTAAGTCCATACGTAATGCTTTGTATTATAATGAGTGTAACTTAATGTTAACTTAATGTAACTTAATGTAACTTAACTTAATGTTACTTAATGTTACTATTGCATGATACTATACTGAGAATGTTTCCTAAATACAAAATATTAAAAAGTTAAATATCAAATAATTCATCCCAAAATTTTGAAAACTACACAAATGGTCATCATTTTGGAAACAACCCGATATCATTATTTGAGTACTTATTTTGTCACCTTGGCATTATCCATTATTTCAGCAGGCTTTAAAAACTGCTGCTAGTCAACATTCTCATAGAACACCAAAGCTCTTCAATGTTATTAAACCACATACAATGCAAACACAAAACAAAACCCTGAGCTAGTAAAAAGGTCACTAATGTCAGATGAAATTGCCAAGTCAAGTAGACATGAATTTGCTTAGTTTTAGACATTCTGTAATGGTATACATATTCTGGTAAATATCGTTTGTTAGCTAAAGTGTGTGTGTGTGTGTGTGTGTGTGTGTGTTGTGTGTGTGTGTGTGTGTGCACGCACACACACACACACACACATTAATGCTAAACCAAAGAAGAACATGGAACAATTCAACAAGAGTTCAATTCTTTATTTCCTTACATACAGTAGACAGAATATTGCCAGATTAAACTCTTACTACTTCTAACCTACAGATATACCCTTGGAAATTCTAAGGAGTGACTATCTTCACTTTCTTTCTCTGTCTTCTATCCAGTTCTGGTTGTGCTACCTCTGGAGGCAATTTAAATTTAAAACCTACAAGCTACAGTAATATACACTAATCTCCAAAATAAAAGCAAGGGAACACAACATTATAGAATGCTTTATGTAGATGCTGGCTAGCATTTCGACAAGCAGTTGGAGGCAAATGCAAACAAACTTTATCTTTGCAAAGTACTGTACTTACAAGGTATAGTACTTAAAAAGCAGAGCATTTCCCAAAGTGCTTAGGAACAAACAATATAGTACTATCGAATAACAAAAAAGGGTATTTTAAAAAACAGAAGTAATTCTAGCACTCAATTCTGGCACTAGTCCTCAAGCAGAGGTGGTATTCAGCAGGTTCTGACCAGTTCTCGAGAACCAGTAGTGGAAATTTTGAGTAGTTTGGAGAACCAGCAAATACCACCTCTGACTGAAGATTTTACAGTATCCTTCCCCTGCCACACCCACCAAGCCACGCCCACAGAACCAGTAGTAAAAAATGTTGAATCAAACCTCTGTCCTCAAGCCCATGCAGCACCCTAAAAAACCAAAAACAAACTCAATGCCACGCCGGCTGCAAAAATCCCTGGATCTTGTTTGGCCGGGTGACCAGGGGCAAAAAAAACACTGCCAGGTTCAGGAAATTGCATGTCGTAATCACAAATGGCATAGACTGAATTCAAGTCACATGGCTACAGAGGCCTCTTTTTTTTTTCCAGTATATGTTTTATTTTTATTCATAAACCTTTTGAATACAGTGTAGTGTCAGGGAATACCATTAACTAAAAAGCAAAGGAAAAAACAAACGAATATCAACATATATATACTAGTAACCATAATGATAGTGTAACAAAGTAATTTTAACGAAATTTCTTTGTATTAGCTTATTTATAGTTCTGTTGGTTATATCAACATGTTTATAATTGTCAACCCTCTGTATTTGATTCTTACATGACAATAATCTTTCTTCACCTAATTTCTACTTCTTATCTCTAACCACTTGTAAAATCTGTTCCATGTTAAGTAATATTTTGTGTCTTCTTTATCCTTTATTTTTAATGTCAATCTATCCATCTCTGCACAGTCTAGTATTCTACAAATTCTATCATCATCTGATGGGGTGTTCTCATTTTTCCAATATTGTGCAAATACAATCCTTGTAGTTATCAATACATGCAAAATTAGATATACAATTCTTGTATCATATCCTTCTAGCATTATACCCAACAAAAATATTTCTGGTTTCAAGTCTGTGTGTTGCTTAATCATCTTTTCCAACCGTAGGAAGTTATCACCTACCCCTCTCCTAGAAAAATGAAATATCTTAGAAAATATTTAAAAGGCAGAATATTTCCCCTAAAGAGTAGAAACTCAGAAGCAGAAACTCACCTCAGAAGCAGAAACTTAGCCCCCAGCTTTGCTAATGGGCCATTACTCTGGCCAAGGCTAGCCTAATTTACATAACAAAGATCTCCAGGTAGAGCTATAATAGGAATTGCCCAAAGCCCTTTCATTACATCATCATCCAGCAAGGCTCAACCAAACCTGGGACTCAGGACAGTCTATAGAGTTGCCCCTGCATAGCCCCATGGGAGTTGGACAACCAATCAGAATACAAGCTGAAATTCAAATCCCAACAGAGGGTGTAAAGCCCAGACACTTTCAGCATCTCAGCCCTTCCTTCTTTCTTCACCCAAGGCATGTGATCCTGTCCACCATTAAACCATCTTTCCAAGCAGTCACCATGTTTCCAGTGCCTTTCTTCCCCACTTGGAACTGAGCCCAGAAGGATAATTCCTCCTGTGTTTTTTCGACCAATATTTTCTTGCTTTCATACAAGTCCACCACATATGATAAGTACCTGGAGTTTGATTACACTTCTAAAATTTGGCAGACATCAACAATTTTGCCAATCTTGCTGGTGGCAAATGCCACCTATAAAATATTTTATAAAGATTTTGTCAGAGTATATTCATGAACTGGAATAGAGCTTGGTAACTAAGTCAGCCAATGAGGACTGTTTTGGAAACTGAAACTAGAATTAGCCTAGGTGCAGCTCTATATTAAACTCTGCAACTCTGCTGCTATGTTAAATTCTGCAGCTTTGAAGCTATGTTGAGCTCTGACTGCCTCTCTCCTCTGCTCTGTATAATGCTTGCCTGCTGAACTAAAGTGAAACTGATGTCTGTTTCTGTGTGCTACTGAAGTTACTTGCAACATGTTTCTGTATGAGTTTGCTCCACATTGGAGAAATCTACAACTGGTCTCTAAAATCTACCTATTGTGTTTATAAAGACATTAAATGAAGCATCAGACATCTGTGTTTATTTTTCTGGCACTGACTTAACACTGCAAAACACTGAATAGATTTTCCTTATATGCAGTAGCCATTGTCAGTTTATTTATTTTATTTTACTATTTTATTATTTATTTATTTGTCAAAAGCTTACAATATAACAGAACAAGAATAAACATAAGTTTAAATACAAGAAATAGGAACTAATAATTGAGGACAATAGGACAGGGATGGTAGGCATGACTGTGCACTTATGCACACCCCTTACAGACCTTTTAGGAATGGGGTGAGGTCAATTGAGTTTGAAGGTAAAGTGAGGTCATTTGAGTTTGAATTGAGTGAGGTCAATTGAGTTTGAAGGTAAAGGAGTGGGGGTTTGAGCAGGTGACAACAGAATCAGGTAGTGAGTTCCAGACATTGACCACTCTGTTGCTGAAATAATACCTTCTGCAATCGAGTTTGGAGTGGTTCACATTTAGTTTATAACTGTTGTGTGCTCTTGTGTTGTTGTTAAAGCTGAAACATTCATTAACTGGTAAGACATTGTAACATATGATTTTATGCTTAAGTCTAATCTTAGTCGGCATAGTTCAAGGTTGTCTAAGCCTAGAATCTCAAGTCTGGTGCTATAGACTATTCTGTTGTGAACAGAGGAATGTAGTACTCTTCTGGTAAAATACTTCTGGACTCGCTCGATTGTATTTATGTCTGATATACAGTGCAGATTCCAGACAGCAGAGCTTCATTGCTATAGTTTTTCCCATTAGGACCTTTTAGAGGTGGGATGGTTTCTGAGTCTTTAAGTTTGGTGTTTTCAAAGTTATAGAAGGCATGGGTGGATTTTGTGCATAGAAGATTTTCCTCTTGCTTGCAGTGGTAATAGGTGCATTCTGTCTTTATCTGTCCTTTGGTTACTGTCTATTGAATCAGTTGGGACAAGCTTATTATTGTCTCTCATCCAGACAGTCACTCTTCCTGGTAATTCTGAATATTTGGGAAATTCATTCATTTATTAATATTGAGACAAATAAGCTAAGCTTCAGGGTCATTTTGGGGGGAGCTTTCCTGCTGGTAATCTCTGCCCTCTGGTTAAAATTCAAAATAGCATGGCGCATGAGATCCCAAAGCTTCTCCTAGTGATCTCTTCATCTTCATCTCTTAATATTAATCCTTATACCAGCTAGGAGTTTTGGAGCATTGCCAATTCAAACTGCCAATATTAACGTTCCAAAAAATGCTTAAAAGAATTGAGTAATTTGAGTAACTTGATACCTGTCCCTATATGCTTAATTCATAAAATTAAAGTACCTTAGTTTTTGCTCATGTCAGAATAGCAACGTAGTATTTTAAAGCTTTTCCCTATCTAATTTCTACTATATATAATCAACTTCCCACTGAACTATATTTGGAGTCTGAGATTTAAAAAGACCCTTAAATGCTTCCCTTTTCAGGATTTTTAATAAAGTTGGAAGAACTTTCCAATGTCAGTAGTCAATATTTGTTATAACTATTGTAAAACTGGAATTAGATAAGGTTTTAAATTTATTTTACTGTTACACTATTGCTACTGGTTAATACTATGTTGTGGTTTTTATTCTTTTCTTTGTTCTGTGCTTATCTATAAGCAAGTGCCAAATAAAATTACTGAAGTACAGGTAGTCCTTGATGTACGACTGGTTGCTTAGCAATGGTTCAAAGTTATGATGGACGCCGGAAATGAAACTTACTAGCTGAATTCTAAATTCTGGGTCCCTTACAGCCAGATAACTGAATTTGGGGTACTCAGCAACAAGCTCACGTTTATTACTATTTTCAGTGCCCTGAGTCACATGACCACAATTTACAATAAACTTGTGTGACCCCCTCACCATAAAAACACTTTAAGTGGCTTAATAATGATGTTAACACAAAAATGAAAAATTCTGAAACAAAAGGTAATACAAGTACAAAAAATGGAAGCTCATCCCAATAAAGTATTGGGGTTAATTTAACCATGTTTTAGCCAAGGAAGATGATGGCACTATGTGGAATTATTATTGGCAGAATGTATTGTGATCTAAATCAGCAATCATAGGTTACCACAAACTTGTCTCAAAAGAAGATAGATGAAAATTATCCAAAGGAAGCATCCCACAAGTCACACTACACTTAGGCCCATACCCCTATGCTGAGCCAACAACAGGCCGCATCTTCCTGTGCACAGAAAAGCATGGCACGAAACAGAGACTTTCTTCACTTCACTCAGCCCTCAATAACTTTGTCATATGAAGATAAAATGTCAGAAGAAAATGCAGGACTGCTTGGTTGTTTTGTTGGACAATACAATGTGGCAGGTTTAATCAAGAAACAAGTCTAATTAGCACAAGCTATACTTGGGGAGAAGCCACGAGCTTCTCATATTTAGGAAGCAATTTGGGTACGGTAAAATTCCTGGAGTAACGCTGGTCAGCGAGGGTGCATCTTGCTTCCCAATTTGTCTAATTCCTTGCTTCAAAATGTTTCTGGAACTGACCTTGGCTTGCTTCTAAATTTCTCATTCATTTGTTCTTTTCAATGCTGTTTTTCAGTGAGTACCTTGACTTTGGACCAAACTTATGCTATGA